TAGTTCTTGCATTGTCTAATGTAATTGAAAAAATTTTCTCCTCAATCCCCCACTCTTTAAGCAAATCATACACAACTTTATATAAATTCCTAGCAGTATGGGGGGGTTGGACATGCAGAAAATTCAAAATCAAACTATGCAAATTCCAATCATCATCAACACAGTGTGCAGTTAAACATAGATATCCTTGCGTTACAGCAGATGTCCACATGTCACAAGTCAAACATATTCTACTAGACAGTTTTTTCAAACTCTCCTTAATCCTCTCTTTCTCCCTCTTATAAATTTTCAAGCAATGATTCTTCACAGTATTCCTACAGATTGGTTTCACTTCTGGATTCAAATACTTCATTAATTCCCTAACAGCTTCATGCTCAACCCAAGTAAAAGGATACGCATGCTTAATAACAACCATAGCACACAACTCTTTAAAAGTTTCTTGATCAATTTTTTTCACTAATTTTCCAGAATTATTTAACATCATCTGGAGAGGATCTTTTTGCACTCGACGAGGGCATTTCGGAGCATGCCTCCTCATATTCGAAGTGCCATGAGTTCCTGTGCAGATGTATTCTTTTCCACAATATTTGCATTTACCTTTTCTTACTCCATCCTTATTCTCTGAAGCAGATATAAGGATGAAATGTTCCCAAACAGCAGAGGTAGAAGCCCGTTCAATAGCCCCCCGTGCCTTGGATTTTGCTTGCACCTCAAACTCGACCACCTCTTTCCCAAGTACAGAGCAAGAGCCAATATTGCTTGCATATTCCTTATCCTTGCCTTTATCAACATCCACTATATTCAAAATTTAAATTCATAATTAGAATTTATAACAAACTAAAAAAATAAAAATAGAATCTATAACAAGCAAATACCAATGAAAGGGTCTGAGTCTGATTCGGATTCTGATTGTGCAATTACAGATAGTTTTTCAAATTGACCATCTCCATCGCTTCTCTTCCTTTTCATCTGTGGCCACCAAAACATGCAAAAATTAAAATAGAAAAAGTAGAATTGAGGAAATACAGAGAAGAAAACAACCGTGTCAGATTAGAACATGCAACCAAAAACCACCCATGGTTACCTTGAAGGCTTTAGAGAGAATTTGGTGTTGAAGAGAGTACTGCAACTTGTCGGAATCAAAGGAGAAAGGAAGAAGAAGCCGGAGTTGATGCGAGCGACGGTAAGATTTAAGAACGTGGAGTTGCCGAGTCAGAGCTTGAAATACCGAACTATGGAGGCTGCAGATTGGAGAATTTGAGGAGAGTTGGAAGAGTTAGAATTTTTGAAAATATTAGAGGAAGAACAGGAAGGGTCGTGAGATCACTGAGATCACTGAGATGATGAGTGGTGGGGTGGGACATTAGGAGTCTGGGATTTTTTTGGTTTCTTGAAGATGGTGAGCCGAGAGAAGTAACCAATTAGGTAAAATTAGCTATTTATTAGGGATTTAGGTGAGATTGATTAGGGATTTAGGTGAGATTGTGATTTGAAAATTAGGAAATAAAATATATAAATAATAAATTAAAAAATATTTACTTTTCAGATGGGTAAACGGGTCAAGCCCGTTAACCCGTTGGGTCAACCCGTTATTGACCCATTACCCGTCGGGTTCTGTTAACGGGTTATTAACGGGTCACGGGTCATGAATATCTGACCCTAACCCGTTTTAAACGGGTGAATAACGGGCGGGTTAACGGGTTGGGTAAAAAATTGCCAGGTCTACGTGTGATGAACTGTGTTATTGAGATTGGGAATTAGTGGAAGGCCGAGGAGTTGGACCGAGGAGTGGAAATCATACAAGCATCATACAAGCACTTTTTTGTCCAGTTCCCAGTTTAAAAACACCATTTTCAACTTTTAACACCCGAATATACTGTAAAATTGATTTATTAATTATTATGCTAAAAAATAAATAAATAAATAAAAGTCGAAAAAGTATGGGGCTTACCCAAAATTACTGGCCAGACTTTTTTGCCTTGTTTTTGTTTGGGTTCGCAACCGTAGCTCCCTATCTTGTTTACACAAATTGAGTCCGCAAAACACGTGAAGTTGTACCGAGGGTCATTGCATTCGTCAATATCTAAGACAAAAAAACAAAAATAAAATCAGCAAGACATTAGG